GAAAGAAGAGGGGCTACTGGTGTGGAGTATGAGAGAAGAAAGCAGTGGGAGAAACTGGAAGCTGGAATGGTGAAAATAAATGTTGACGCTGCATTCTGCAGCAAGTCAAGCAAAGCTGCTTACAGCGGGATTGGTTTGTAGAAATGAGATGGGCCAGTTCATTAGAGGCATGGGTAAAAAAGTGCAGGCTAGCTCCTCATTGATGGCTAAAAGTTGAGCCCTTTTAACAGCCCTGGAGGCGAGAGAAGTGATGAAACGGGAGACGCTAGTGGTTGAAACAGATTGCCAGAAGCTGCACAACATGATGAAGAAAAAGGAAGCTAAGGTTGGGGACGTATTATAGAAGTGCTTAATAGTGATGAAAACTAAACAGGATTGGTCAGTCGAGTGGGTAACAAGGCTGCAGATTCAATGGCAGCTGAGGCAATGAGGGGTAGTACCTAAAGGATGGCTGACAAGGCCATCATCCTTGTGCTGCAAATGAAAAGAATTATAAATGTAGAGAAAAAAGAAACTTTAATAAGAGTAAAACTAAATTTGTCAATTTAATGATGTACTTTTTAATATATGAAAAATGTGTTACCAATGATTTATATTTTGACCTGACAAATTATAATATTAAAAATTAGAGTCGTATAAAAATTTTCAAAATATGTATTATATTTGAAGAAGAGGGGGTGCCATAATTTTAATATATAAATATTGAAAAATATGTTTAATTATTACTAATTTTTCACCAAAGTAATTATTACTAATTAATATGTCCTAAATCAATATTTGTGAAATACTAAATTTAAAAGTGAATGCAATTTTAGACCCATTCAATTTGAAATGCAAAGGTCCCACGCCCGTTCTCCAAACTGGGGACCACGGAAAACGGGCCATTCGCATTCACAGTCAACTTATCCACAATCTTGTGGCCGGGACCGTGAGGGGACTGAGATGTCCTATTTTCTCTTTAAAAAAAAACTATAATTTTTTGTGTAAATTTTTTATTATAATGCTTATTTTTATTGAATTTCTAGAGATAAAAATATTATTAAAAAATATTATGTAGAAAAGCTAAATTATATAGTATAAAAAGGTGTAAAAACAATACTATAAAAAAATACCATAAAAAAAACATTATCTAATGGCTTTATGAATTATTTTATTGAGGAAAGAGATTTTGTTGAGATAATACTACAGCTTAAGAGCTAAAAAAAATCACTATAAAAATATTATTATTAAGTAAATGAATAATATAATAATAATTATTAAAAATTTTTTAAAAATTCGGGATAGGACAGGACGACTCCGTCTCGCATCTTGTTCTGTTCAGATTACTATCCCGTTCCCTGCCTACTTGTCCCGTTTTGAAATCTTTTTGTCTCATCCTGAACTCACAGGGATTGGGACAGAACAAAATTGAATACCCTTATTTTCTAAATATTGATCTTATTTTTCAGCTGTATTGACATCCTAATCTCATTTATGGTCATCCACTGTTCTTTTCGCAATCACCGCTTCCTTTTTCAAACACACATTCTTATCTTTTTCGTATCCATTCACTATTCTTTTTTCTGGCTCTCTCCCCCTCAGTGTTGATGGAAGAGAAAAGTAGAAGAGCAACACAGAATCAAACATCTTGAAGAACCACGGAGCAGATGGAAGAGTTTAAAAGAGGTGAAGGAAGGGTGATGGAATGCGATGCCGTGACCAAATCTGAATTTTTGTGCTGAAACAGAAGCTTGGTACGATCATGTACTTTTCTTCCCTTTTCTATCTATCTCCTTTTTCTACGGATTCAACTTTATGCTTATGCAACATCCGGATTCTTCCACTTACTATTCCCTGTCCTCTTCCTGTTTTGACTGCATAATTTTCTTTCTTAAAAAGAAAAGCCTCCGCCAGAACTAGTGAACTTGGCAGTTCCTTTAAGGTTGGAATACTGTGACTCAGTCTTGTATGTCCTGATTTGACATCTTTTGTGTTTTGGAACCTGATTTATAAATACCCCTTCCAAATTTTTCTTTCAGTGTATCGCAACACTTTGAATACTCGATAGTTCACTCTACGCATCACCCAGAAGCATGAATTAGTCATATGTACTTGTCACATAAATCAGCATGAAATGTATGCCTCACTAAAATCAGCGTTTTGTTTCTATTTGGGTAGGCTGTGCTCGAGCAGGCTTTTGTTTGTAATTTTCTATTTGTTTTTTTTTTTACCTGTTTGTAATTTTCTATTTGGAAAACCATTGTTCAAATATATTCCTGCTCTTGATGCTCTTCCATGTATAGTCTTGAAGACAGAGGTGGAAATATCGTAGGCCTACAACCTGGCTTGGTTGGGGCCTAATATGGCCTGACTTGCTGGAGCAAATAGATCAGGCCTAAGGCCTATTTAGAGGCGTCTAACAAGCTAAGTCTTAAAATTTAAAGCATGGCTAGATTAATTTTTTTACAATTTATTTTATTAATATATATTAAAAAATATAGGCTTCTAAGTACACTAAATGCTTACATTTATATAGGTTTTAGTAAGCTTAAAACCTATTTATGACGATTGAAATATAAGGTCTTTTTAACTGTTTACATTGTAAGTAGATTTTTAAAATGATTTCAGGCTTTCCAAACCTTTCAAAGGCTCAGGCCTAAGTCTTAAAAAGAAAAAAAACAAAACGCTCTTTTATATAGACTCAGACCCATGCTCAAGCTTTGAACACTTATTACAGATTTAGGCCTATTTGGCCAAAGCCTTATCTGTTTCTATTCCTAGTTGGACATCATATATTTGACCTTGCATTTTATATTCCTCTGTTTGTTTGAATTCCTTGGAGCCAACCATGGAAGTTGTTGGGAGTTTGTCAAGCATCATAGGACTTGTGCTGCTATCATCATGAAGTAATTGGGGGGGGGGGGGGGGGGGGGGGGGGGGGATTATAAACACTTGAGAGCATCCAAGAGGAAGATTCAGCGGCTCAGTTTTTTGATGCAAAAGTTGGATGCTCGTCAAAAAGATGCAGGAGAGATACAGTAGGAAAATTGGGATACAGAAAGCTGCCAGCTGGGGATTTGCTTGGAGCTACGATCTAAACACTTAAAAGCATGTTTATGTTCTAAAACAAAATTCACTTCTTTTCTTATTCAACTTTCTCTCCCTCTTTCTTTCACGTCCTTTTGTTTTGCTTGCCTTCTCTGGGGAACATTAACTAAGGGAGACTCTGTTTTCCCTTTTTTTACATTATTTTTTTAATCGTAATAATCTAATTAAAGTTTTAACGGTAAATTAAATATCTTGTAAAATTATTTCAAAAATTACTGATTATAAAATTTATCATCTAAAAGTACTTAAGATACTAATATTTTGAATGAGTATAACTGATTTTAGCAAATGTAACTTTTTCTAAACTATATACATCATATTTTAGTTATGTATAAATATTTTTTTGGTTTTGCATATAATTAAAGATAGATTCCTCAAACTTTAAAAAAGTAGCATTAATAGAAGATAAGTTGCACTGCGTCGTCAATCAAATTTCAGGTATCTTTGATAATAAATTTTGCAAGGAGATATTTTTCAACAATTTTCCCAAAATTATAATTATTATTATTATTATTATTTTACATAAATAAATTTAAAAGATTAAGATTTCACTCGACAATTTAAATTATAAGAAGATATTCTCATTAAATTTTAATTAAATTTATTGTTTATATTGATCAATTATAATAGTAGAAATTTATTTGCATAAAATAATAATTATAAAATATTAATTTAAACATATGAAATTATAAAATGATAGTAAAAGGAAAAGGAAAAAAGAAAGGAAAAGGAAAGATGGGAAAAATGAGAGGATAGTGTCCCGAAATCACCTCTTTATTATTGTTGTTGTTATTATTAAAGGATAAATATTATAAAAATTAAAAGAATAATTTATAATACTACCTCCGGTCCTAATATAGACCCTGCTTGACTTTTATTTTGGTCATAAATATAAGACTCCAGTCCACTTAATTGTCTCTCATATTTACTCAATATTTTTCAAAATAATCCTTCTAATAATTATAGTTCTAGTCAATACACTTGATTAGTAAGGATATTTTAGAAAAGACAACACTTATTTAAAACAAATAACTATCCCAACTTACTTCCTTAATCTCCTCAAATTATTCAACTTATTCTTATAATTAGGACCGGAGGTAGTATATTGTTAGCAAGAGAACACGAATGCAAATTAGAAAAAGGAAATATGGAATAGTTTATAATACAACACCCCTTCCTTTTTCAAATACACAAATTCTTGTCTCTTTTTTCTTCTTTTGGTTTTCTCCATCACTTCCCTCTTTTCTGACTTTCTTTCCATCGATGTGGACGGAAGAGAACGATAGAAACATAACACAGAAGCAATCATTTTGAAGAACCACAAAGGACATGGCTGATTTTACGAGACGAAGGAAGGGTGAAGGGCTGCGATGCCTTGACCAAATCTAACTTTTTGTGTGTTCAGATAGAAACTTGGTGCGATTATTCCTTTTCTTCCCCTTTATTGTTCTCTGTGTTTTATGTATTGAACGAGCCTAATCCAACCTGGTCCGAAGTGAATCAACGGGCCCGATTGATGACCGCTCCTTTAAACTTTTTTGTCAGTATATTGCAATACTTTGGAGACCCAACTAGAATAACGTTTGACTGTTTGATAGTTCACGCTGCTCCTGACATTACTCTCTCACCTGCTCCTCATACACATCACGTAGAAGAATGCATCCGTCATATATACATGTCACACTATTAGGAAAGATTGCATGAAATGATCGTCTCGCTAAAATCACCATTTTGTTTCTATTTTAGCTAAACGTGCGCTCCAGGTAGTTTTTGTTTATGATTTTCTATTTGGAGATCATATATTTGACCTTTCGTTACGTTTTCAATATGTAGTTGACAGGACACACTAGCTCCAACAATATACATTTTGCTTCTTATGTTCGTTTGTTCGTTCGAATTCCTTGGAGCCAACCATGGAAGTTCTTGGTTGTGTGTCAAGCACCATGGGCTTGTGTTGCTCTCTGCATGAAGTAATTAGAGAAAATTATAAACACTTCAGAGCATCCAAGAGGAGTATTCGACGACTGGATAATTTGATGCAAAAGTTGGATGCTTGTAAGAAAGATGTTGAACATGAAGTAAATCGATTGTGCGGTCAAAACAGAGCAGAGCCAACAAATGAATGCGTTTTCTGGTTTGAGCGAGCTGATCAGGTAAACACAGAAGTTAGCAACCTCTTGGATGAAAATGGCTCGCATAGACCAACTAAAGGATGCTGTTTCATTTGTTCAAGAATCAAATTGGGGAAGCTTATTGGGGAGAAGATCAGAGATATTCAAGAACTTCTAGATGGTGTTCCACGTTTAGAGGATTATTCAATTGCTGTTCCTGTAAACAAGAGAGGTGATGTTTTGTCTGCAATACCAATGGTGGAATATGAAACACATAAACAAATCCTTATGGAGATTTGGGGGTTCCTACTTGACAAAAAAGCCAGAAGGATTGGTATCTGGGGAATCGGAGGAGTTGGTAAAACAACTATCATGTCAGAGATTCACAACCGCCTAGTGAAAGGAAGGAGTCAATTTAATTGCATTATTTGGGTGGAAGCGTCAAAGGATCCAAGAAAGGTGCAACAAGATATAGCTAGGAGATTAGGTTTGACTTTTCAAGATGCTGATGATGAAAGAGCAAGAGCTTCTAAATTATTAGAAGCTTTTGATAGGAAGAAGACATTTGCACTGATTTTGGATGAGGTTTGGGAGCCACTCTCTATTGAAGAAGTTGGAATTCCTTTTCCAACAGCAGAGAATGGTTGTAAATTAGTGATAATAACTCGAAGCCGTACAGTGTGCAAAGACATGGAAACAGACAAGGATGTCGAAGTGAAACTTCTTTCAGAGAATGAAGCATGGAATCTCTTCAATGACAAAGCTGGGGAACTTGTGCTATCAGATCCAGATGTACAATCAATTGCAATGGAAGTGGCAAAACAATGCTGTGGTTTGCCTCTAGCTATTGTTACAGTTGGGCGTGCATTGAGAAACACAGTCGATATAAGAGAGTGGGAGGATGCATTACAAGAGTTAAGAACTTCAACTACTAGTATTCACAACTTTGAGGAAGTAGTATATTCTCGTTTGAAGTTGAGCTATTCAAAACTAGAGGATGATGCAAGGCGGTATTGCTTTCTATTTTGTGCTTTATACCCAAAAGGTCATCTAATTGATGAGAATGAATTGATTAATTACTGGGTGTGGGAAGATTTATTGGGTGGTGGAAGCATGGCCGAGATGAAACGAAAGGGACAAAAGATTATACGACAGTTAATATCTGCTTGCTTATTGGAATTAAAAATTGAGAATGGTGTGAGATATGTGAAACTGCATGATTTGATAAGAGATATGGCCCTCACAATCATGAGTACAAAGCCTAGATGCATTGTGAAAGCTGGCATGGGACAAGTAAAACTGCCGCCACCTCAGGAATGGAAAGAAGATGTTCAATGGGCATCATTGATGCGAAATGATGTGAAATATATAAGATTCAATCCAATGTGTCCCAGACTCACTTCTTTACTCCTTCAATGCAACTCATTTGAACAAAATATATCAGATGACTTCTTTGACAATATGCAAGGGCTAAAAGTTCTTGATCTCTCCTATACTGGGATCAGAGCGCTGCCTATGTCTCTTTCAGATTTGAAGAATCTACATGCCTTGATATGTAGCCAATGTTGGAATTTTATTCGTGTTCCTTCTTTAGCGAGGCTCACAAAATTGGAGTATTTAGATTTTTCATTTTCTAGAAGCTTGACAGAACTTCCAGAAGGGATGGAACATTTGACCAATCTAAAACACCTGGATTTCTCCTTCACATCCGTCCAAAACTTAGGAGCTGGACTCTTGTCTAAATTTACTCTTCTAGAGGAGTTGTTGATTCTGGGTTCGCCTATGATGGGAGTATCATCTAAGAGTACAAATTCTTACTCTTATGCAGTTGGAGTTGAAGAAATTGGATACTGTCATAAGTTGTCTCTTGTGCACATGCAGCTACGTGACATTACAGCTTATAGAAGAATTGTTAAATGTCTCAAGTTTTCTCAATTGAAGGAGTTCAAGCTTGTCGTTGGGTCTGTAGCCGGATACGACACTTCACGATTATTTGAGAGAACTAGTTTAGCTATAGATTTGAGTGTTGGAGCAAGGAACCTTTCAAAAGCGGAGATCACCGAATTGATTCCGAGAAATGTGATGGAGTTAGTAATTCAGAATTCTCAGCATGTGATCAAACGCTTGTCTTTGCACTTATTGGATGCAATGTGCTTGAAAACTTGTGATATCACATGGTGTTTCGGGATGGAATGCATTCTGGAAAGTGTGGAGAACAATTTGTGGCGGTTAGAGAAAATGAGACTATATAATTTGCCACAACTGAGGATGATATGCGGGGAAGTTGTGAAACCAGGTACTCTAAAGAACCTGAAGAGTATTCATGTTGAAACATGTGGCTCACTGAAATTTCTGTTCCAAAAGCAGCTCATCCTCGAACTTAAAAGTCTTGAAGAAATTACGATCGTCGGTTGCCCTAGAATGGAAGAAATTATTGAAGGAGAGAGGAATACAAATGCTGAAGGCAGCAGCCATGCAGCCAAAGTGATCATTCCAAAATTGCAAAGGTTGAAATTGATTGATCTGCTAAACCTGAGAAGCATATACGATGGGGACATTCAATGTGATTCTCTACGCACCATTGAAGTTTTCCGCTGCGGTGCTCTTAATAAATTGCCTCTGGGTCTGTTCGGAATAGAGGAAGGTCAGCAAATATCACCATCAACTACTACTCTTGAACAAATATCATGTGAAACAGAGTGGTGGGAATCACTGCAGTGGGACCAACCGCAGGCTAAGCATCTCCTTCAACCATACCTTGTCGTCCATCCTGGTGGCAGGTATGCCTCAGAGCACATATCACTTTGTTCATATGTATATTATAATAAATAAACTTAAATATAGATATAGTAATTTTTTATTTTTAAAATCTTTTATGCACTTGTATTTAATTTGATTACATTATTCGCTTCTGATAGGGTGATTGGCACGATCATGTTTGCTCCAATCATGTTTGCTCCAAGTAGCAGTAATACATCGTGAAAGCAGTATTAAAGTGGAGCCACAGTCATCACTTGATTTGATTCAAGCTGTGTTATTTTACTGTCAATGTTGAAGTTTGTGTAATGTTTGATATTTGGAAGCAGAACATTGTTGCTGCTTCTAAATTCATGGTGAGACCGAGGGAATTTTAAAGTTATTTCAATGTTTCTTTTCCAGACTTATTGTTAACCATATGCCTTTTAAGAAGGATTTGGTATGTTTGTCAAGTAATTAAAGATGTGTCTATGGTCACTTACCATTTAGTTATCTAAATTGGTAATTGCGTAGTGAGAAACACAGCATCACAGCGTGATCAAACAGCATTGGCCTCTCATATCATGACTTATGAATGCTTTGGATTATGATGCTTTCTTGCTTGTAATTTCTGTTTTTTTTTTTTCCTTCTCTGAACCATATTAATTACTGAAGAGAAAGAACCTTTGAGCTTGCCAAACTTGAATATGTACTCCCACACACATTTTAGGGCCTGGTCTTTTAAGTTACTTTTAAGGGAGTCTGTGGGAGAATTTTAAGCTAAACTCAAGGGAATGTGAAAAGAAAATTTGTTTTCAACTCATTCTGATAAGCTAATCAAAATCACTTGTCAAAATAAAATGAAAATAGATTTCTTTCAACAATCCCTTATGTTTAACTTAAATTCTCTAAAACAAAATTTCTTACATAGTTTAATCAAACTTTTTTTTTTTTTGTTAACCTTAGATAAATACAGTTATTTATGCCTTGATTATGGTTATTATTTGTAATTCCTTATACGAATATATTTTACACCTTTTAAACAATGTTACTTCTTATAAAATTATCAACTTAACATTTTTTAAAATACTTAACTTCTATTAATTTTTAATGTGCCGAGCATTCACTGATGTTAATTGATCCCAATAGACAGTTTTTATCTTACAACCATAGAGTATATCTCATGTATATCTCTATTTTTATTTTTATTAGTGTGTGCTTTAAATATTAGTAGTATTGCTTTTCAATTCAAAAATGATTTCTCAGACATCTTAAATAAAAGTAAGAAATTAGCAGTAATTAAATATTTACAATATATTAAATTTATTTGTCATCCTACCTCTATTTAAAATATGAGGCAATTTTAACTAAAACTCACCAATTAAGATTTGGTTTCTTAAATATATTGGAGTGTTGTATTGTTTCTTCTAAATATATGATGAGACGTGAATTTTGAAGTTATTTTCATATTTATTTGTAAGACTTGCTGTTAACTATATGCTTTAAGGACGATGATTTGGTGTGTTTGTCAAGTAAGATGTGTATAATCATTTATCATTTAGTTATCCAAATTAGTATAACTGCATAGTGAGAAACAGAACATCACAGAGTACTCAAACAGTATTGACCTCTCATATTTTGACTTGTGAATGCTTTAGATTATAATGCTTTCTTTCTTGTAATTTCTCAAATTTTCCTTCTCAGAACCTTTAAGCTTGCCAAAACCTGCATACGTGCTCCCAGCTGACACATATTTAGGGAGCCGTTAGGAGAATTTTAAGCTGAACTTAAGGGAATGTTAAAAGAAAATTTGTTTTGAACTCATTCTGATAAGCTAATCAAAATCACTTGTCAAAATAAAATGAAAATGGCTTTTTCCAACAATTTCTTATGCTTACCTTAAATTCTCTAAAAAAAAAAATCTTATGTAGCTTAATCAAAATTACTTTTTTTTTTGTAACCTTAAGTAAATATAGTTATTTATGCCTTTATTATATTTATTATTTGTAATTGCTTATACAAATCTATTTTACACCTTTGAAGCGCTATTACTTCTTATAAAATTATCAGGTTAATATTTTTTTTTTAAATACTCACCTGGTCTTTAATATAAAACCTAATTAGAAAGTTAATGTTGTTTTTAAATATAAGACCTATTTTATATAATTATCAGCCTTTTCCCAATTAACCTTATTGATGTTCCCTCAATAATAATCAAGTAGGAAGGGAAGCAAGGAAATTAAAAAGGTACTTAGAGTATTTAAAAAAAAATATCATATTAATTAATTCAACTAACATTCTTAATTTACTTAAATTAATTAATTAGGTTTTATGTGAAAGATCAGAATGGATATTTAACTTCTATTAATTTTTAACGCGCCGAGCTTTCATTGATGTGAATTGATCTCCGCAGGCAATTTTTATGTTACGAACCACAGAGCATATCTCATGTATATCTCAATTTTTATTTCCAACTAGTGTGTGAGGACTATTTAAATTAGTTTTTTCAGAAATGATATCTCATAAGGATTTTAAATACCCCACTAGAGTGTTTAAAATATATTAACAGAATCTAGAACACCAAGCTCCAAAACACATTAAGGTCCAATTGGTAGAAAAATTAGTTAGAATGAAAAGGCACTAGGGGAATGAAAATTTTTTAACTAACAGTATGTTTGTTAAGCATTGAAATGAAAAATAGGTTGATAAAAAATTTTTATGTTTAATTAAATGAAAATGGATTAAAAAATTGTGTACTTTTACTATGTCACCCGTAATGACAGAATATAATATTATTAAATGAAAATGCCTTTTAACCTTATAGAATAATAATATTATTAAAAAAAAATACTTCAAAAATAATAATTGAATAAAAATATATTATAATTTAAATAAATATAAATATAAAAATACTCTAAATATTAAAAGATTAAAAAAATAATTAAATAAAAATTAAATAATAAAATACCAAAAAAAAATAAAACAGAAATTTTGCACAAGAAATAAAAATAAATTCACAAAAGAATGAAAGAAAGTACAACCAAACAATTTATAAATCTAAATCGAAATAAATAAAGTCAATTAAAAAGTGAATGTTTAGATGACATACATTTGTTAATTTAAATTTAAATGGGTCAAGTGATTTATCATTCTTTAAAATTAATTTTTAATGCAACATGACCCATTTAAAAACTCTCCGTATTTTGAAATTTATTTTCAAGATAATGAGCAAGGGTAAATTATTTAGATTGATGTCATTGAAAAGCTTATTTAGTCTATAGTTATATCAAATAAACTTCACTTTAAAAGTTTCTATAGTTTGTGAAACACTATAACTACATTAATCAAAGGTCAAAGCTGAAATATTTATGACCTTTATTCACAATTTTAATCATAGCCCTATAAATATAAAGAATTTTTAATAGGTTTTATTTTATTAGAAACTAGATTTAAATAACTCTTCAATGATAAGTTATTTGCCTAATTTAGATTTAGATTGATAAAGTCTTATTTGATGAAATTTAAGCTTTAATAGGGCAGAGTAATCAAATTTGAATTTGATGCAGTAAATTCAACTATTTTTTGCATCAAATTTGAATATATTCATTTTTTTTACAGTTTAAAGTTTAATCATGAGTTTATTAATGTAAAGTAGGATTTGTATAAAAAAATTTCCAATTTATCCACCATAAATTCCAACTTTTTGCGCAAAATTTGAATTTATCATGTCTATGTTATACTCTATTTTTAATATTGTGAACAGAGTAATTTTTCATTAAATTTAACTTTCTCCTTTAAATTCAAATTGAACAAATGACCTATTATTGAAAAGAATTTTTAGTCTAGTTTTTAATGCAATAAGATCCGTTTGAAAATACTTTGTAATTTTAAAGTTATGATCAAAATAGTGGGCAAGGGGTCAGAAACATTTTTTTCTTACTAGATTTTGAATCAGATTTGAAAATTCATATCTAATTTACACGAAAATATTTTTTTATTGAGATAAATGTCGTTAAAAAGCTTATTAAGTGAATGTTTGTGCTTTTTGGCCAATCCATGTGTGTTAATTGCGCGACTCAACAATGACAGGGTAGAAAAACGCTTGGCAAAAATGAAGATTTAATTATGTGTTGGGTGTTTAGGGAACTTTATATTATGTTATTATCACCAAAAATATAATACAGCTTGAAAAATCTTTGAAACAATTTTGATCTAATATGATTACGTTCAGGGGTAGGATGCTCAATGGAAGGAAGCAGGGAGGGGGAGAGGGAGAAGCACCTGAAAAAGAGGGAGATAGCAATGGCACATACATCGAGGGGCAAACCTGTCTTTAAGATTTTTCCTATCGTCCTGGAAAATGGGTTCCCACTAAAATAGGTGGAAAGCCACCTTCCCCTGTACAAAGGAAAACTGATCGCCCCCGGCAATCTGCCAACCAAACGCACACTGTACAAAAATCATGATTTTTCTTTTCCTTCTCCAAATTTTCAACATACCAAATGGCCTCTGAATGCTGATTCATTCAAGATTGATTATAAGCCAAACATGAGGAAAATTTTGTCTTCAATTTATTCTGATAAACTAATCAAAATTACTTATCAAAATAAACTAAAAATAAATTTTGTTCCAATAATAGCCCTTATGTTTTACTTCTTAATATTTAACTCCATTAATTTTTAAAGTTCCGGACGTTGTCCGGGGTAAAAATCTGGGTAATAAGAAGTTATATCGAGTAATTTGATCTCAATAGGCAATGTGTTCTTTTTTTTTTTTTCTTTTTTAAAGAGTGAAATACTCTAACGCCTCTCATTTTTATCTTAATTCCGCAAAATTTTCCTCTATTTTGAAAACTCATATAAACTATCTCTAAAATCAATATATATACATAGATATATAAATATATATTACATAAGCATCCCTTATATATTTTAATTAGATTTTGACAGTCAAGTTTAACTCTTAAACTTCTGTTTGACCAAAATAACCCTTTTGGCATAAGAATTATTTAAAAATTCATATTTTGCCCAGAAATAAATTTTATACAACCAAAAATAGTTCTGATACATATATTCTAAAACTTTCTAATATGTTATAAAATTTATTAATTCTGATTATATTATACAAATTTATAGTTTTAGTTGGTTTCTTTCAAAGGGATAAAAACATATTGGAAATTTTAGGTGCTCTCTGTTAATTTCATAATAATGTAAATACTAATAGAAAAAATTGCAAAAAGAAAAGAAAATGAAAAAAAAAACTCTTATTTCGCTCCTCAATTTAAATAAAAAATGTCTTGAAATATTTTTAAAAAAATGTTTTCCTGAGCTCGCAAAATTTCTCACAATTTACAAAGATTGTAAATATTTTGAATCTATCACTGATTACCAAGAACCTGTACTCCACTGAGCTTCGATTCATCAGCAAAGTCTCCTGCGAAGATGAGAACGAAGGAACGAG